AAACTGTAGTTACTATAGAAACTGTAGTAAAGGTAGTTTTAGAAGAGGTAGCCATGTTAATCTGTGCAAGCATTACAAGCAAAACAAGAGAAAAAACAAAAGAAAAATAAAGGAGTGGTCGCAAGACCAGATAGGCGGAATATAAATAGAATGAATGAATGAATGAATGAATGAATGAATGAATGAATGAATGAATGAATGAATGAATGAATGAATGAATAGGACAAAAAAGGTGTAGCACCTTAAAGACTAACTATTCTTTTGTTTCTGCCTGTAACGTTTCCTCCACATTTTCCTTGTTAAGTGTACTGTAAAATAAACAAAGAAGTAACAAGAAGACCAGTGAAAGGGATAAACTATGTGTATTCTTAAAGAAAACAAATTCATACCATGCTGTATTTTTCAATTTTCTTCTCTGTCAACTGATGTTGTTGAATAATAATAGGAGTTATCGCTGAAGTGCTGGTTTTTTATCCTTGTTAAGTGTACTGTAAAATAAACAAAGAAGTAACAAGAAGACCAGTGAAAGGGATAAACTATGTGTATTCTTAAAGAAAACAAATTCATGCCATGCTGTATTTTCCAGTTTTCTTCTCTGTCAATTGATGTTGTTAAATAATAGTAAGAGTTATGGTTGAATTGCTGGTTTTTTTAATTATCACTGTAAAGCTTAATCCAGGATTGATGATTTAGACTGTGTGTGCAGCAACTAGCTCAGTTGTATTCATGACATTATTTATCCCAGACTCACCAAGGCTACGTTAATGATTCTCTACAGTGTAAGAACACTACTGCAAAGAAATAAAATACAATAAAATAATGGCTCAGATCAAAGAAATAAAATAAAATAAAATAAAATAATGGCTTAGATAATTTCTATCTTTTAAATCAGCTGCTTTAATTGCAATAGTGTTCTTGCACCACTGAAACACATTAAGGCAGCCATAGTTGTGAATATTTCGGGAAGGATAAGCAATATTTGCATATTGTCTACTCATACAATAGCAGAAATCCTATTGCGTAAATTTATGTCTACAGAAGCTGATGTTGTCATCAGCCACAGGCTTTTATCACTCATTATGTTTCTTATTCCACCCCCTCTATGTTCTATGGTTCCCTCAGGATCCCTTTGGACCTGGGGGAATCTTTAGGAGTCAGGGGATCGTAAAATGACCCCCAATTGTTGCCTACAGTCCCCCAATCCTGATGACAGGGTGTTAGCAGCCATTTTCAAGCATTAAGGTTTCTCCCCCTCCATCCCAAGACTCTCAAAGGCTTCCTCAGGTCAAAAGAGATCTATAAGGAGCCTTGGAACTTCAGGGTGGTATGGTGGAAGAGGAAACTTTTAATGCACAATAAAAGCGTTAGCTTCCTTTATTGAGTCAATTCATCTCTTATTTGATAATCTTGTTATCCTGTTGCCTTCAGTGCAGCTGAATACCAAGGTGCTAGGATGTACGCTGGTAACACAATCAAGTAGGTACCAAGACATGCCTGTCAGGAACGTGTCTCCTTAGAAAAGTAATTCCACTAGGGGAAGGAGCCAAACTCTAGTTTCCAGCTTCCACCAGCTTTTAATTCTAGACTGGGTGAGATCTAGTAGGTGTGTGAGTGGGCAACTATGGGCAAGCTTTTGTCCCTGGATTTCCAATTACTCACTGATTTAAGCTTAAAACTCTTTAGCGGTGTACTTTAAACCTTACACACCAGCCTTACCAAGTAGGACACCAAAATAACAAAAAATAGCAAACACAGCCCTTGTGGCTACAACACTTTCTTTAGGCATTCTCACCCCTTCCTCCAAGAATCACACCTGGGCAAAATATAAAATATTCAAAAAGAGTAAAAAGTTATAAAACTAAAGAAATACAAAAATATACAATTGTACTGGTTAAATGCCAAGCATCTAAATATTGTCAGCTCCTATAAGACTTTGCCATAAAACAATAAAATGATTAACTAGCTAATAGTTGTACTACTTAATTACTAGGCTATTCTAAGTCACCATTGCTAAAATCTCCCAATCAATCAACAAAGGCTTTAAACCTGTCGTCCATCTTCTCTACTCCAACTTACACACACACCTAACCAACCTTTCCTATAAGTTAAATGAAAGTCTCTGCTTCTTGGTGGTATCCAATCAGCATACAGTCCTTTGTTTGCAAGTCCGTGCCCAACTTGTAACTTTCCACAGCTCCCAACAGGCTGGTAGGCCGTTAGCAAGGAATGTTATCTTTATCAGTCTTGAGATGTGGCCTTCTCAACAGCTAGGCCTCTGGCCAAGATGAAACACCTACAAATCCTGGGAAGCAAGTACTACAAAACTGATATCCTCACAATGCCCTGGCACATTTTCAATTTTCTACAGCAATTTACTCAAACCTTACACAAACACCAGTAGCACTCTGGCTTCTAAAACCTTTGAGCAGAAAGAGCCAGGTCCAAGTGAAAGGAAACAAAATGTCTTTGGAAAATGTTTGCTTGACTTATGGGTTTACTGCAAAACTAAGATATTGTGACGCATCTCATGCTATGTTTTGTGGACTGGACTGGTGCTTTTATCTTTCCTTTTTACTATGGGCAAAGACAGGAGAAAATGATGGGCTTTAATATAGTCCAGTCTTGGGATGACCTATATCATGTGGCCTTTTGAAACATGTAGTTTGGCACTGGACAATAAGCAATCCTATGTATTGTACAGACATTTTGTCTTGATACCCCTATTTTGTGTAACTCCATTCCAAGACTCCTCTGCTTCTATCAGGTTGCTTCTGTTTAAAACATCTAGCAATCTTAAAATGATGACAAGTATGGCTTGCGTCAAATAGGTTCTCTGAAAATCAAATCCTGAGAAACTTTTAATGTTATTTCACTTGCTTAAACCAAACACTGATGCTGGCAGTAACTAAGTAAGCAATAAAAGATGTGATGGACATAGGAAATATGTTTGGTGTCTCAGGGCTTCAGCTGAGGGTGGCTGCTGAACAGAAGCAGTGATTTGTATATTATGGTTGGATGAAGTCCTAGTTTGCTAACAGTTCCTTGGATCCAGAGGGTAACCAAGAAAAGTACTAAAGTGAATGAATGCCAATAAAGAAATTGGAAAACATAAAATGCTGAAAGCTAGAATACTTTGGAAATGAAAAACAGAAAACACAGATTGTTACAGCTGGTCATTCAAGGCAACTTGGTTGGAAATGATATGCAGGAAGGAAATGCATTTTTCTGTTGTTGAAGAATCTGGGAAACTGGTTTGGATACAGCACTTCATCCATGCTTAAAGCTGCCATATCCTAAGTCAGAACAGTCACAATAACTTCCAGTTTCCAATGTGAAAGTAATGGGAAGAAGTATTTTGTTCATTTTAACATGCTTCAGGGGCAAGATAAAATACATCCTCCATAAATAAATCAAGAAACCCATGGGCCAGTTGAACCAAATCTTTAGAAAAACACAGATAAAGAAAGCTTACAACTCCAAGCAGTAACTTTAAGATAAAACCAAGACTTTGGTTTCAATAAAACAGCCAATTATCCAACAATGTACACTGTTATTCCCTTATCAGACCATTTTTAAAAATGCTACGCATTATATAGCACATTCTGCTTTTAATTATATTCAAGGCAAGAGATCTGAATGTCCTACAATATAAACATAATCAATTCACGTGCTCAAGACATTCAATTAATCAGCAATTTTGGTGGTTGAAGCCAATGTTTTTCCAATGAAAGATGTACATTCTATTCCTCCAGATTTAAATACTCTTTAGATATACACAGAAACGTATGTGTAGAAGGCTAGCTTAGATATAATGCATGTGTGCATAGTCCAGTGTTGTTACAGTCTATTCGTGCTATCTTTGATAATAATAATTGCAGGCTGGCAAGTCTATTCCAACTTATCGTGACCTCTTCCATAGTTTTCTAAGTATACTGTACTGATAACTGATTTACCATTCTCTTCTTGTGGGGGCACCAGAGACTGACACTTTGAACTATTAAGTTCAATTCTTAACAGAGGTGGGGAACATTACTTTTTTAGACTATAGCTCCCAGCATGCTATAGCCAGCAGGATTCTGGGAAACATAATACTTTGCCCAAGGATACATGTGGTGGCTCTTCTCCTGGAAGGCACAATGGCACAATGGCAATATCAAATTCCCAACCTCTGGAGCTGTGGCCAAGTATCCAAATCACTGATCTATCCAGCCACTGTCTCTATTTTTAAGCAGACAGATGTTGCCAGCTGGGTTCATATGCATGCATATCATGAACATTTGGGGGAGGCAGATGGGCAAAACCATACATCCTGCAGAATCTATAAACCAAATATATTTTCCAGTATGTGTCCAGTTGGCTTTAGATGTCTCTTCAAATTCTGGCTTCAGAAAACTTAAACCACAGCCTGGCTTCAATGCTTTGCCATTGGCATCTACAATACAGCAGCCTGTGGATCCATAACTGTCTGACTGTAGCCTCTTAAAGAATAGAAGCATTGCAGCTGTGTATCTGGAGTCCAGACTTTATTCTTCAGAACCAAGAGACACACTTTGACATTTCCTTATCTTGCTTTGCTGTACTGTATATTCCCTGCATTAAAAATCTTTTGAGTTCAGCTTTCACATGTAATCTTCAGTCATTTCAGCTTTTCCAGTAAAGGAAGCCATTCCCAGGGGTCTTATGATTTGATGTACAATATATGGTGCACTAACTCCTTTGGGAACAAAATGAGAAAGAAACCCACAGAGAGTGAGTAAAAAATATATATATATATCCAGATTTGTTTACAACACTGTGCTGGATCTAGAAATGTTACCTGAATTAGAAGGACAAATAATGATATCTTCTGTTCTCTGCTATCCGGTATTTGAGAAAATCTAGTTCATGTTTCAAATCAATTGCCATGAGTGTTAATAAAGAGAGAGAGAGGTGCAAAATCACAAGTGATAGCAACTTGCCTCTCAGGCTGGGCCAACTTGTACATGCTTTGCATTACTTACCATCAAAATTCTTGTACTGGGCTGTTAAGACTATTTGCACTGAGCGCATGGCCTCCTTCAGCATGCCTTCAAATTCACTCCTACTTTTGTTCGCAAAATTCTCCTCCATCTCACTGGTACAGCAAGTATAACCTTGTGGACAAATCCTCAAATGTTCCCCTGGAGAGAAGAAAGATAAAAAAAAACAGTTACATCATCTTTTATTCATTTATTTGATTTATATCATTTCTAAGCTGTCTTTCTCCCATAGAGGCGCATAAGGTAGCTCACAATACTTATATGCAATTAATGTGAAAAGTGTAATAAATTAAAACGCAAACAATTGAACATAAAATAGTATAAAAATAACCACCTAAAACATTAAAAGACTTTTAAAAGCACTCTTTTAAAATGCTATCCACAAAACCACAGAAGAGTCCTGCTTAAATGCCCAATGTAGTTGAAAAGCCTGCTTGTAAAGGAAAGTTATTACTTATCACCAGAAGGAAAAGGGGGGCGGGGCGCTTAGCCACAGCAGCCAGAGAGAAGTTTCTCTCTTCCATCCCCTCCAGATATGGCTGAGAGAAGGGACTCCCCTGGAGTTCTTAGGAGTGGAGAAAAGTCACGGGGAAGAAAGGATATGGTCTTTCAGGTAGCCTGTACACAAGCCATACAGGGCTTTATATGTCGTAAGGAGCACTTTGAATTGGTCCTGGAAATACACTGGCAAGCAGTATTGCTTCTTGTAACCTGCCCCAGTCAGCAGCTTGACTGCAGCATTCTAAACCAGCTGATGTTTCTGAACTCTCTTCAAAGACAACGCTCACAACAATCCAAGTGAGATATGACTAAAGCATATGTCGCCATAGCTAAAACAGTGCCTCTAAGTCTCATCGCAGAAGAATACCATGGCTGAGGGTATCAAACGCTACTGAAAGGTCGAGCAGAATCAGCAGGGACACACACTCTCACCATCAGGTTCACAAAGTATGTCATTCAGCAAGGTAACCATCCTTGATTGGAGGAAAAGCAGCACAGAAATGAAAATACCTAAATGAATTAATGAATAGCTAGCTAGCTATCTCTTTCGCCCATAACCAGGTCTGAAGCTAGACTGAAATGGATCAAAATAATCTGTCTCCTCCAGGAACCCTTGGAACTGAGAAGGTATCACATACTCTAATACCCTGACACTAATGGAACATTAAATTTGTCATAGTTCATATACACAGAATTTGTACTAGGGTATTTGGGGGTATGTATATTCAAATGATGCTATGAGAGCAAGTGTATACAGTTCCTTAATCAGATCCCAAGGTATAAACATTCAAAGAATAAACATTCTTTGAATGCCATCCTAACTATGGGCCAGTTGAACCCAGCTGTGTTGAGTCCAAATTCCTCCCAGTCTAGGCATGCTGGAAATTATTTAGGATTAACCTTATCCTTCTCTAATCTACTCGTCCATGGGGTGGGATGAGACCAGGATCTGCCATAACTCAGCTTCTCCTTTACCCTGCATCTTCTCTACTCTTGTTTTGGTTCTTCTGACAGCCATTCTTAAAGACAGCCGATAGGTTCCATAGGCAGATTATTTGCTGGCAGATCTCTGAGATCAGATGGCAGAAAAAGATTCTGCCAGCAGAAGGGAATTTTTGCTGGTAGAAGAGGCTTGTGTCTAACCATAACCCCCCAGAGGTGGCAAACTGTTCAGTTAGATTTGCACAGTTTATTGGTGGAAAATCAGAAACCAGAGCTGTACATGTAGAAATATGCTTTAGAATTTTTCTCCTCTTCACCCGTTGACAGGAATTTGCTCAATTAAAATTAAATACATCTTGTCCACCATTGTGCTAAAATAATCTAATTAGGAGGGTGTCAATGCACTAAATGCAATTTTACTACAGCTGCAACAATTCTGCCAGTCCTTTTACAGAACCGTCATTTTAATGTCACAGCTGAGTTGCACCAAATATTGAAACCCATGTCTCATTCTGCATGTTTCAAGGACCAATTCAAAGCTGTGCTGCAAATGGGAAGGTTGCCATCAGAATGCATATACTGTACTCTCCTACTAGCTTCTACTTTTCAGCATCAGAGCCTGAGGGCTTGTGTTCTTGGAGGTGATGAATGTTTCTTGGACTGTAAATCACTGTGTAAACTGTGGCACTGCAAAAAATACTGTCAGTGATATTTCAGATTGGCTAGATAGATAAGCGTTCGATATTTGGCAGCAATGCGATAATAGCTTATCTCTGTCTAGAATCTCTTCTCTCGGATCCGCAATAGGAACATCAGGCTGCAAAACTCACTGCTGTGTATCACTATGGCAGACCTGTTGCACCCTCCCTGCTGTTTCCTAACATAGACAAGAGAAGACACACATGTACTTCCTCCTCTCTCCCTGCTCCTCTCCTCTCCTCATTGGAACCATGCATGCTGTACTACCCTCAGACAGATGTTCTGGATGCTACCTTAAAGAAGCCATTAAAACATTCATAATCCTCCAGGTTCCAATGAATGCTGTGGAAGTTCTATCTGTCCTTGGTGTCATCAGAAGACCAAATACAGTAGGCCTCTGAACTGCAATGAAATTAGACTGCCATTGCTTGAGTACCATTTGAGCACCACTGAGTTGCCCAAGATGCTGGAAAACAGTCTGGAAGGTGTTGAAGTTGAAATGCAATCTTCGTTCTAACTTTAGGCTTGCATCTAAGCCATAACAAGGAGGAGGAATGTGAGGCATTTGTCTTGGGAGCACAAAGTTGCGGCGGGGGGGGGGAAGAGCTCAGAAAATATTGTGTATATAATGATTAAACAGGACTATAGAAATGTTTGTTGTTCTTATGTGCCATTATGTGACTTATGGCGACCTATGAATGAGCAATTTCCAAAATATCCTGTCCTCAACTGCCCTGCTCAGCTGTTGTAAACTCAAGCCTGTGACTTCCTTTAAGGAGTCATTCAATTTCGTATTTGGCCTTCCTCTTTTCCTGCTGCCTTTCACTTTCCCAAACATTATTGTCTTTTCCAGAGAATCTTGCTTTCTTATGATGAGTCCAAAGAGAGACAGCCTCAGGTTTAGTATTTTTGCCTCCAGAAATAGGTCAGGCTTGATTTGATCTAGGACCCACTTGGCAGTCTTTCTGGCAGTCCAGGGCATCATCAGCATTAATTTTTTTTCCTTAGCTGTCCATGTTTCACATACATGGTAATCAGAAATACATTTTCTTGTACCCTTTTCTTAATGGCATTCTGTGGTTTGCTTGAGATAATAGAAGTGTATGTATGTGTATCTTCCTTCCTTGAAAGTAAAATATTAGCAGGAGAGACCTTCCTGCTTACAAATAGTGTCTGCATATAAGCAAGAACCCTTGGTGGTATGTTGACTTTATCAGGGTAATGGATGGCTCAATAGGACTTATACATTTGATCTGAATGAAGTATTGCCTATTTCAAACTCTGTGTGGGACTGTGTATGTTCATGGTTCTGTGCTTCCTGGTCCTCACTTCTCTCTCTGCTTTCTTTTGAGATTAGTGCCCTTTTTGTGGCATAACAGCAAATTTGACGTGGAAACGGTTAAGACTGTACAAGTCACCAGTGCTAGGTGACTCATGTTGGTATTTCTTGCAGGGTGGAGATGAACAAACTTTAAAAAAAATAATTTTAAAATGATTTTATTTAATGTTTTACAAAGGCCATATAATTATCATTTAGTATTATTAAAGGACAATGGTAGGGTTACCACATACAATAAAAAGTATAGATCGGTGACTGGAGCTGGTGAACCTATAGATTCAAAGTGTCACATTAAAGAAGACATTTGAGAGTGTCAGGGAAGAAGAACTAAAAACACGCATTGGAAAGAATGCAATACAATTACAAACTTATGCAAGACACACTGAATACAATACAGCCTCTTTCAAAGCATTGACTTTTTACAAACTACCCTTTAATTAAGAAGACTTTCAGGGCAGTTTACAATATGATCTAGACACTACAGAAAGAAAACAAGAATTAAAGGTAACATTAAAAATTACTCAGGAGAGAGAAGCACACACCTCAGCTATTTAAGAGCCTGGAAAAAGAAGAAAATCTTCATTCAGCACCAAAGGGTAATATGAGTATCACCTGACCTTCCAGTTACACAGATGTTATGTCATAGCTTGAAGGATGGAAAGACAACATACTAAATTCCTCCTTTATTTCAGTGTCAGCTGTTTTGACATGATGAGAAACCTCAGTGAGTTATTTTAAAGCCCTGCAAGTGCCCTTACTCCACTGAAGGTCTCTATAATTTATACAAACTGCTTCCACTGTCCTTTCCCTATCACAAGCAAAGCACGTGTACACATATATGTGCTGGACTGACTGATTGTTAAGAAAGACCTAACAACACATGATCCAGTGCTTCAAAACCTTAAAACATCTTCACTGTGGGCAATCTGTACAACTAGATGAAGAGTGCATTTCTGTGCACAAAATAGTGTTCTCAACGGAAGAACACTATTGGGAGCATCAGGAAATTCTTTACTGTCTTCTCCTGTGACTAGAAGAATAATGTAGTTCTAATCTTCAAGTAGATGGATAAGACAAGCAAGGGTTTACTTTCCTACCAAAGCTGAGATACCCATCTCTTCGGTCACCATCTACCTCACCTTAGCTAGTAGGGACACCCAATGTAATTTTCAACACAATGGCAGCTTAATTTGGAACAAGAGTAGGGAGACCTTGGCCCTTTGGAGATTTTGAACTTTAGTTCCCAGAAGCTTCAGCTATTATTCCCAACAGTAAGCACTTATGAGAGTCATAACAGAAAACATCTAGACGGCTAAACGTTCATCATATTTGATGTAGGATAAGACATGGCCGGCAGGTTCCTGCATCCCTAAATCATACGTTGCACAAAATAAAACAAAACTACACCTGTTGCATTTAAGATCTAGCAAACTACTACTCTCACTTCCCTGTTCATTCAGATCCACTGAGGCATTTTACAGAGATGTCAAAAACCCCTCCCCAAGGAGACAAAAGGGAAGACCAGGTGAGTCATGCTCACAATCAGGGCCTTTTTTAAGACACCAAGAGGCTCAGAGCAGAATGTTCATTAGAGGATTCTCCCCACCACCTCCTTCTCACAGCACCTTGGCTCAGTTCAGATGGCCGCTCCATGTGTGAA